GAGACGGGGGTTGTAGATGTCCTGAAGGGGGGGGTGAGAGGCACCAACGATCTTCTTAGCTGCTCTCACTATGCGTTGAAGTGTCTTGCGGCAGGACGCGTTGCCGGCGCCATACCACACAGTGATGCAGCTGGTCAGGATGCTCTCGATGGTGCCTCTGTAGAAGGTGCACATGATGGGGGCCGGGGCTCTGGCTCTTCTCAGTTTGCGGAGGAAGTAGAGACGCTGCTGTGCTTTCTTGGCCAGTGCTGCGGTGTTGTCAGTCCAGGAGAGATCCTCTGTGATGTGCACACCCAGGAACTTGGTGCTGCTCACCCTCTCCACAGTCACACCATTGACGGTCAGAGGAGCATGCTGAGTGCGCACTCTCCTGAAGTCAACAACAATCTCCTTCGTCTTCTCCACATTCAGAGAGAGATTGTTGTCACTGCACCACCCGGCCAGGCGGCTCACCTCGCTCCTGTAGTTTGTCTCATCTCTGTTGCTAATGAGACCCACTACAGTCGTGTCATCCGCAAGCTTGATAAGGAGGTTGGAGTTGTGTGACGGTGTGCAGTCTTTATTGTGGTTCCAAAAAAGTTCAATATTTGAATTCTAAGACAAAAACGTATTACAGGTGCATCTCAATAAATTAGAATGTCGTGGAAAAGTTCATTTATTTCAGTAATTCAACTCAAATTGTGAAACTTGTGTATTAAATAAATTCAATGCACACAGACTGAAGTAGTTTAAGTCTTGCCTTCTGGAAAGTATGTTCATTTACTGTACATGTACTCAATACTTGGTTGGGCCTCCTTTTGCATGAATTACTGCCTCAATTTGGCGTGGCATGGAGACAATCAGCCTGGGGCACTGCTCAGGTGTAATGGAAGCCCTGTTTGACCCTGCCTGTTTACCACGTCTCTTTAATAAAAGCTTGCCGATGGATTCACACGTCTCACGTCTCGTCAGCCCCGTTACAGAATACTCAGCCCTACAAGGACCCAGCAGCTTTCCAAAGGAACATTGGCCAGGTATGGACACAGCAAGGATTTTGTTAGCCCTTAAACAGGGTCCACGATCATTGGAGAACTATATCTGAGAGTTTTTAGCCATCGCTCACTATTCTGAGTTACCAGACTGTTTATTGACAGTTTTTCTGCAATGGCATAAATCAACCTCTTAGGGCGAAGCTTAGACGCGAGGGTCCATGTTCATCACTCGCTCAGTCCATGGATTATGCTTTGTTGACTGTCGGATCTTTGTTTACTCTGGGTGTCGCGGAGGAAGAACGCGACACAATGTGTGTGACTGAAGTGGTGGCTGTACCAGAGCACGCTCACAAAATGGCGGCGGCAGCGGAGCCTGATCGCAAAATGGCGGCCACACTAGAGCACGCTCACAAGATGGCGGTGACAGCGGAGCACACTCACAAGATGGCGGACACAACATCATCTAGTCAAGTCACGGTTGATCATCATGAGTCGGGTCAAGTAACAGTTTATTATCATGAGTCTAGTCAAGTCACAGCTGTTCTTCCTGAGTTCAGTCAAGCCACAGCTAATCTTCCAGAGTCAAGTCTAGTCACAGTTGATCGTCATGAGTCAAGTCAAGTCACGACTGATCTTCATGAGTCAAGTCGCAGTTGATCGTCATGAGTCAAGTCAAGTCACGACTGATCTTCATGAGTCAAGTCGCAGTTGATCGTCATGAGTCAAGTCAAGTCACGACTGATCTTCATGAGTCAAGTCGCAGTTGATCGTCATGAGTCAAGTCAAGTCACGACTGATCTTCATGAGTCAAGTCGCAGTTGATCGTCATGAGTCAAGTCAAGTCACGACTGATCTTCATGAGTCAAGTCGCAGTTGATCGTCATGAGTCCAGTCAAGTCTCAGCTGAGCTGCCAGAGCCTCGTTACGTCACAGCTGATCTTCTAGAGTCTCGCCATGTCTCAGTTATTCGTCCAGAGTCACGTCACGTCTCAGTTATTCATCCAGTCACGTCACGCCTCAGTTATTCATCCAGAATCACGTTGCATCACAGCTCATCATCC